CGGCTTAAAAATGCCGCAGTCCCACCCAAATCACAAGGCATGCGACACGCAAACTAAAGATCAAATTAATTCATGTTTTGAAATTAGCCGTCATGGGTGTCGGAGACTGTGATCACGATGTCTGTTGCAAAAGCCGCTTTGCATTCTAGCCTTCGATTCTCTATGCAAATGTTAAGTAACCTTGTCCACAAATAAAAGCGATGCCTTGTGAGGATAAAAGGCAAATATCTTGTTCCCTGTCAAGCACGGTGCAAATTGCAGTAAGAACGTCTGCCTACTGGTCATTAGAATGTGAACGCAGTAAAGGGTCATTAAAGATAATATAATATACAAGGCCGATTAAGCCCTTGAAAAGAGCGAGGAAGGAGACAGTTTAACGCGTGTCCTACTCCAAAAAGACTATTAATTTCTTAACAGCAATTAGAACAGGTGAGAAAAGGAACGGCAGGCTTGACAAAGACGAGGCCTTCGAGTACGCAAAGATGTTGATCCGCCACAAGCAGTAAGAGTTTTCTGGTCCGAGCTTGGTGATGCCGCAGCGTTTGATTTATGCCTACTTTCTGGATGATGTTCCTAGCTGAAGCGGTAAGGTGCATCTCTGGGCACAAGTAAGAATTCGAGGTGGGTCTAGGGGCATTTATTATCGTTGTACTTTAAACTCACATAAATAAACATAGACCAAAGCAAACATAGCCTCAGGTAAAATTCTACTTAACAACTCTTTTATTCTGATTTTATTTTCGGATCTCTTTTGTTTCATTCAGCGCTTACAACGAAACGACGTAAGGAAACGAAGCATATGCCTTCCAAACCCATAATTAAGGACTTCGTCAGTCAGCTTAAAGGTCCCGTATCAGCCACCAAATGGTGGGGCATTAGGAGGTGACTCTTGAGCTCCATGTACAGCGACACCCACAAGGCAATTTCGAAGTAAAATGTCCGGCTACTAGGCTTAGAAATATCTTGCATGCCGCCACTGTTTCACGAGCCACGCATCAATGAGTGGATTGGGAAGTTCAGGAGTTGCGCGTAATTCAAAGTAACTGCCGGAAAAACAGAGTTTATGTTCTCTGCCAAGGAAGAATTATAGTATCGGATAGCGGAACGTTAAAACCACGGTTAGCTGAGTTCAGTTCGCTAAGTCGATGTTGAAGGCGGTCCCATTTACCTGCAGACGAGGTAGAACATTTTTCTGACAAATCCACTAATTTGCACGTAAAGTTGGTAATTCACAATGCTCTCCTATCTGGGGTTTGGCGGCAGACCATCGTTAAGAAAAAAGGAATTGTCATCATTATTATTTTCGCCGACTGTTAGTTGCGAATCCACAGGATATCACTGCTTATACTAGCAGTCATTGGCACAGAAATAAGCCTGTTACTATTATTAATAGACATTAAAGTCTGTTATTCACAAACGAGGAACATATAGCCAACTGTATAGTCCGTCTATGAATAAATGCAAGACATTAACGATTATTGACCTAAATGTGAAAGACAACTTCCACACGAACGGGAGGGATTCACTGTTATCGTAATAAGCCCATTACATTTTTTTTCATTTATTTCGCCTTCTACTGATTATGGCTCAGGGTAACCGCAAGAAGCGGTCGAACAGTGTCAAAACCAAAATGCTTTTACAGGGCGTTTTGTATTCTTCTTTTGGTTTTCTTTTTATGATGCCCCTAAAAAGATGGAAGAGATGGGGAATTGTAAAGCTGTTTAACAGTTCTCGTCAGTTGAACAGGGGTAAACCAGCATCCCTTGACTGTCTGGCGCGCAGTACGCAAAAACAACTTCCTAAAGACCGTTGTGTACTGCAAACCGGCTAGCAGTGACTACAACTTACAGCTTGATCTTGCCAGTCCTTTCAAAAGAAACAAGGAGTTTGAGCGGCCTGCATAAAAAGCAGCCCAGTTATGTTCCGAGGTAAATTTGATGAATGAACAAAAATGAATGAGGGAAAATTAGCTGGCAATGTCTACCAAGTAAAGTTTTCATGCAACAGTGTAGGAAAGGATTCCGAGCCGCCAAAAAAACTATCCAGAGAGTGGCTGATGTCCTTTTATATGGCCTATTTACCGAACGTAAGACATGTCATACGTCGAATTTTCGATTCACCTTGTGCAAGAGTGGCTTTCAAAGCCTCTAACAAAATCAGAAATGGGTTACGCATGCCAAAGATGCGAAGGCAACTGGTCAGAATGACCACTTTACTCATGAGTCATTTAGTGTTTATTGTGGCAGGACATTGTTTTAGCGACCCAGGCAGACGCGCCGAAGTTCAGACGCAATCCGAAGACAGGTCAAAATAGCCGCGTGTCCTTCGATCGCTGCCCCTATTTGGACCCAAGGACACAGGAGATCTCAAGCATCCATATTCTTTCACAAGCATGGACTAAATTCCGACAGCTGACTTTCGGTGCGCAACATTTACACCTGGAAAGAAAATTTTGTCGTATCATGACGCGGAGTGTTCTGCATCCAGCCTGGAGAAGGTTAGTCAATAACGACGCCAAGTAACCTAACAATTGCTCCACTGTTGGTTTTTTACGTTTTAACTGCTTTTGGCTCTTTCAACAAACGTATTCATTTATTCGTCCTTTCTACCTCATTAAACATTTCTGCAATCGGTGTTGTTCATTTGCACTTGCATCCACAAAAGACAGTTTTTATTATCTTATCATATATAAGTTGATGATTTCTCTTCATGATAGCTGTGGTTCAGTAGGAACGCAAAATTAACTTGAAAAGGACTAACTCGAGCTAGCTGAGCAGTTGCCTCTTTATGACTTTATGTCAGTTTTACATAGATATTTTCAATGATAAATAAAGAAGACATCATAAACCTAGCCCAAGGATTGTCGGTAGAGATAGCCGTTTAATAGGGAGTAACAAATTTCTAAAAGAATCATGGAATGTCGGTTAGAGTATAGAAGTTTCCGCCAGCATACTTGCTATTAGTTGACTTTTGCACGAGAAAGTTTTGGTCCGGCGATGCTTTAATGTACTCAAATGAATAACAAAACAGCACTTACGGTAAACCTGATCAACCGCAATGGTAGGGACCGCCCACCGATCGTTCTTACGGAACTCAGTCGTTCCGTTGTGCCTTACGGACTCTCTCTTGAGCCCAACCAGCAGCCACACAGCGTCGCATGATATAGGCAGTGTGTTATTACGGACAAAGTTGTCTTTGTCGGTAATAACACTGATTAACCACGTTTGACATCGAGTGCACGCACCTTAATCTAAATAACTGCTCGATAATCCTATGCATTATTTTATTTTGATTGTAACAAAAACCTCGAAAAATCTCACTGCGAAAGACGCGTTTACTGAGGTAGCCGTACGTGACTAATTGGCGGTAGACAACCAGACGAGAACGCAAACGCGGAAGTCAAAATTTAAATACAAATCATTTAAATAATGCCGTGCTAAAGCCCATCATTCCCAAAAATGCTTGATTTTGCCGACTGAAGGATATCAGAGGTTTTCACATCGATGGCAAATCGCATTGGGTTGGCTCGATTACTGGCCAGAACGTACGAGCAGTGACCGCGATTTTTTGTCCATGTCCGAACTCTAAAATTCGGTGACAAAGGTTTGAGTAAACAGTCATAAGAATACCATTAAAAGGCAAGGACGCTGAGCACACCGTATCGCAGTTGACAGATGGCGAGCCAATGACTAAGCAAGCAAAACGCTTTAATTTGGGTAGGAGCAAAGCGACGAGCCGGATGTCAAATAATTAGTTTATCGTCCTGAAAAGGCTTAACACACTGCGATGGCAATCCAACCGGAAACAGCCCTGCAAGTGCTTCTGCAGCTTTTCAGTCAACTTTCCCATTATCAGTCTGTCAGTGCAATGAAATTAAGCACAACGAACGAAAAATGAGTCACAGTAAATAATTATTACCATCATGACCCGCAGGCATGACAAATTTTCTATGCATCTTTTGGGATAAATTTTAGCATGCTGTTTGAGGAGTATGACAATTGAGCCAAAACGCACGTTTTACTTGAATTTGCAAATGGACAACTTTAAGTATACCGGAAGGGGTTTTATAGTGATTTCAAGAATCATCCGAAACGTTGGATACAGGCGGTAAGAAGAAACGTCTTTTACTTCTGCCACAGAAGTTCCATGTTTGAGGAAGAGGTTGAGAAAATTTTATGGCAACACTAGATTCCACATGTTTTGTTAACTCTGTCTTGTCCAGAGGGTATTTTTATCATATCGGAATGCTGACAATCGTGAATGAAGATTTTTTGAAATAAGCCTGAAAATCTTTTAACATTGTCGAATTATGAAAAAAAGCAATAATCTAAAGTGCTGTTTTTTCCGACAAATCGCCTCTTTCGTACCTTCTAAACAGTTAGAAGCGTCTTGATTGACTAATTTTAGACAAGGCGATTTAAAGCAATCAAAACGGTAACAAACTATATGATATGGTTGATGAACGATTAATGAAATGAACAATTAATGTAGACTGGTAAGCCGCGAAGATGTTGTTACTTAGCTTTATAGAGTAGAAGGCATCATGTTCTCTCACCGAAGCCTTTCGAGCACTTGGGATCAGACTTTAGGAGCTTCTGACAAAGTTAGCATCAGTCAACTCCACCGACTTAAAGCGGCATGTGAGGGTGACAGTCAGGCATCAGCTTTCGGATAAACCGCCCTCCCTCCCACCAGCACTCTCTCTGTGGAGCTCCCGAAGGACTGATTTGTGGCGGATGCGCTGCTTTAATGGTATTCATTTTCGATATTTTTAAAGGCGAACCAATTGCCGCTCGGGCAAGGATTCATCTAGGTTCGTAAACTAAAGCCCATTGCTAAAAAAACATGTGACAGTTCTAGTGAACCAATTTCAGAGAGCCAAGGACAGCCTATTAATGCACTTATTGCTTTTAATCACATACACGCAGGACGATTGCTATGAGGAAGGTTCCTGCGCGGTATAAAGGCACAGGCGGCAGAGGAATTAAGGCCTATTCAAAATGCGGAAGATCGTGGGAGCACTAGATGGCGCTGATCTGGGTGTTCTGATTGCATACTTCGTGATCGTATTTGCTGTTGGCATTTGGGCAAGTCCATCTTACCTGACCCTTACCTCACTACCTCCTCTTTAATAAAGTCCTCATGTAGGAACAGAGGAAGTGTTGGCGGTTATTTCCTTGCTGGGAGATCAATGCACTGGATTCCCGTAAGTTTCTTGCATGCTCTAGTCGAACTGATCGTCTGTCCTAGGTTGGTGCATCCCTGTTTGCCAGTAACATAGGCTCTGGTCACTTTATTGGTCTCGCCGGTTCTGGAGCCTCGTCTGGCATTGCGATCGCAGTTTTCGAGTTCAACGTATGCACTACTTGCTTGTCATCATCATCATCACCCATTACAATCTTCTAGGCTATATTTATCCTCGCTTTGTTGGGATGGCTCTTCCTGCCAGTCTACATTGTCTCGGGTGTAAGTTATGTGAATTTGAGGTCTTTTGACGAAGTACACTAGATTGTGACGGTGCCGGAATATCTTCGAAAGCGCCTTGGAGGGCAGCGTATTCGAGTGTACTTGGCTGTAATTGCTCTTGCCCTTTATGTATTTTCGAAAATCTCGGTAAGTCGCTGTGGTCGTCCAGACAACATATGATTTTGTAGGCCGATCTTTATGCAGGCGGCATATTCATTCAACTCTCGATGCAGATCTCCATATATCCTGCAGTAATAATGCTCCTTATCATGTCGGCTCTATTTACAATCATGGGTAAGCTATGGGATCTGTGTTTAACTTGCATATCGTCCAAAATCTCCGAAACTGCGTGACCCTCGCATATAAAAAGTCATTTTCTCTTTGTCTGAGTGACTTGTAGTCTAATTGGTTAGTTTAATCATTTTAAAGAGTCAAACAAATATGACATTGTTGCTTTTCGGGAAGGTCACGTTCAGATGTCTGGATTAATTTTATGATGTTACGTAGTGAACAACTAATATGCAGCTGAACCCTTAATTCTGGCATATTCCATTAACGTAACACTTTTTTAACATATATCACAGACGTATTGGCTAAATGTCCAACATTTGCCGATTTTTACCCGCACATGACGCATCTGTGGGCGATTGAAATCCTAAACAGGTTCACCGGCGTTCTCTGGTACTTTCTGGTAGAACTGCACTTATCGAATAACGACCTACACTCCCGCCAGAAATTAATAAATCTGGGGTACTCAGCTACTAGATTCACGAGTCCTAACTTGACATGCGCTTGCGTCGCATCCAACAGTGTTTGAAGCCAAAGATTGCATCAAATGTTGGAGTCGAACCTGATGAATCTCGTTCCGTTGACTTCCCCTAAATTAACCTCTTTGATTCTGTCAAGATCTGGAAGTGTCTTTAAGGGAAATTCCTTTACACTGAATTTGGTACGCTCTTTTTTGCAATCTAATTAGAAAAAACCCCGCCCGCAAAGTGTACTGACGAAACCTTTGCTAAGGCCAAGTAAACAAGTTCAAGGAAGTAGCAAATATGAATGTGGCCAAACAAAGAGCTAATAAAATTACGACACGGGAATCGAAAGGAAAGAGGAAAGAGACTTGTGATAATCAGCATTTAATTTGCTTTTCAGGCGGACTTACTGCAGTCATCTGGACGGACTTCGCCCAAACGGTTATTATGATAACTGGCGCTATATACCTAATGATACGAAGTAAGTTTCAAAAGTCGCTTAACACTTTCAAGTTTTATCTGGAGCATCTTGCTTGTTGAACGCCTTAGGCTGACAAATGAATACCCATGAAGGTGCCAGCTAGATTTTTGTGCGCGTATACTTGTTGATTCGTCAAGGCTATACCTCTGAATGAGACCGAATGTTTTTTAAAAGATAATCCAACATTTTTGGCAATACTCTCAAAATGCTCAATCTTCTGAAAACCTCACTCACTTTGGTGACTAGTTGAATGTTAAACAAACTTAATATTGCTACTTCTTTTAAGGTCTACAAATGACCGGCGGATTCGATAGTTTAGTATTCCACTACATGAACGGGATCCCCAACACGACACGTGTCTATCAGAGTACACCATTTAAGCCAAAGGACCCATCAAAGGTCGAAAACTTTGCACCCGATCTGTATGGCACTGCTGAGGACAGGAAGGCAATTCTCAACCTGGCTGCCCCCGAAGTCCGGAATCTGGGCGTCTATGCTGAGTGCAACATTCCACCGGATGATGCAATGAACTTCTTTAAGGCGCTTAGCAGTTCTGATCTGCCCTGGGTGGGTGTCGTTTTCGGGTTGAGTGTGAACGCTACATGGTATTGGTGCACGGATCAGGTAAGTTTCAGAAGTGCTCTGTCGTTTGCTTATTCCTGAATCTGCCTAAGAATAGTATTACATGGTTTTGCAATGTTTGTCAACTACATTATTCTTGCATTTCTCACATACTGGTGAGAAGGTAATTGGGAAAGTGTAGCACCTTCCAAACAGTGAACAAACCCTTCAAAAGTGGAACGAGTTGGATAACTTTCTTCTAGGAAAATAACACACTATCCGTTATATGTCTCTTTTTATGATCCGACCGTTGAGCAAACCTCCGAAGGAATCTGCATATCTGAAAGTCTCTGGAACACATGAAAATAGCTGACTAAAAGATCAAAACAAAGAGGATACGAAAATATGATTTGCAAGAAGCCAGATAAGACGTTTTATACTCAGACTGGAGGTCAACTTTAAAGAATGAAAATTTCACAGATCTGTCTATTTTTAGAAATTCGGTTCAGCTCAGTCGGACTTGGAGGTTCCTTCGGTAGTGTGGGGACAAAAGCAGACAGTTTACCTGACAAATAGTCATTAGTGATGCAGTTGAACGTAATCTCAAAAATCCGATAAATATATTCACCCCCTCAAAGAGCGAACTTTACCCTCAGATTAATTATTTTAATTAAAACCGTCGCTTCCATCGATTAGAACCAAGAAGTGGGAAACAAACGAAAAAACCTGAACCTGAGTGATTTTCAGCAGTTTTTTCAGTCAGTTTCCAGTCGTTTATCTTTTCGGTTCTCCATGTGGCTCAATATTTAATTTATGTTTTGAGCGCTGACTGAACCAACAATTGTGGCTTTTTACTCTCCACAAAAAATAATGCGCTAATTTGAGGTATATAATTCGAAATGAAGCTTTATATGCTTTACGTTAATAGCTGATGGAAATACATCAGCTCCAGTGGGAGGGCCACGATGGTTTTAGGGAGATAAATGCTTTAATATCCCTAAATTGCTAATAGTTGGCAAGTAATATACACATGTTGTGCGTAACATGTCTACAGTATTGGTTGACCGTTGCAATTTGCGAATATTACACAGTGAAAATGGTGGACTTGGGCTCAGATATTCATGTTAACTTTGGGACTAGCCCTAAAAAGCTTCACTCTGAATTATTTAATCCAAGATTACGCATTTATTTCTAGAAACACTAAGAAAATGAGATTTCACAATTGGTGTATCGATTAGAAAGCACACGGGGAACTTTGAGAGCCCCACTAACGAGCCGAATCTCTCGCAGCTACGTCATGCAGTGGGATCATATCGGGAAAACACGCGTCCGGGCATTTATTTAGTGCATGTGCTGTCAGCATGGTAAATCACGCAACGCACGTATCAGTAATATATTGGACAGGGCAAACATAATTTTCGAAGTGTTCATCTGCTGAATGTCTGTAATGAAACGAGCCACTAACTTTTCAGCAAGTATTAAACACTTTTCCTAAACCAAGCGTCTGACTTGTCGCAACTAGCAGAATGTTGTTAGAGCAATAGGCAAAAGTAAATTCCATGCATGTGAAGAAACAGACGACCAATAAGAGAAATCATTGGCTGACCACGCGCCTAGATATTGAGTAACATAAGTGTCGAGAGACGAATATTGCATAAGAAACCCTCATTTAAGTAATCTCACCGAATATCTCTGGACTCACTGGTTTCCGAAATTTCCTTGAAGGCAATTGATAAAATCAACACTTGGCTCAGTGATTATCGGTAACTTTCTAGCTTACCTAGGGCATAGCGGGTCATAAATGCTGAATAAAAAGTCAGTTTGACAAACATATGTTTTCGTTTACTCATCATCAAGCCAATACGATTACATAGAAATTGAAAAAGTGACTCAGGGATAATTCATCGCTCCCACGCCACCCGCATGACGAGGTCGGCGTTTTATGGTCATTGGGACAAAAAAGGAGAGGGAGAGTGACGTAGGCTGTGAGTGATGTTCGTAAGTCGGGTACGTGGAGTACACATCACTGCCATCAGGGGATTGGGGCAGCGTGTAATGACCATCTGGGGGTCGGCATTGGCCACGGAATACAGAACGCCATGTATCAACGTCTTCTGACAACATAGCACTGGATAGGCTGGCTGCATAACCACTGCGTCGGCTGTACGTAACACCCGTTGGCGTAGGCCTCCGGTGAAATTTTCTCTTCTCCGGTAGACGACCTACAAGGCTTATTTAGCATCGACTCGGTGATTCGTATCGAGAAGATGTGCAGGAATAGGACTCGCAATCGATTTCTCTTCCCTTCTGCCTAGCCAGGCCGGTATGTGTCCACATACTATCTTTTCCAGGCGCCTCGTTTTACGGTCAATGTATCCCGCTCCACAGGACCAATTGAACGAGCAAATGCACATCGATTTCGTGAAACGTACGCGCAAATTCGCCGCTGGGAAGACGTTAGTGATCGCTGCTTTCAGACGTCATCTTACCAAGTCTGCAGAGGTGAAAACACATTGATTTCGAGTTCTATTCCTGCACATCTTCTCGATACGAATCACCGAATCGATGCTAAATAAGCCTTGTAGGTCGTCTACCGGAGAAGAGAAAATTTCACCAGAGGCCTACGCCAACGGGTGTTAGGTACAGCCGACGCAGTGGTTATGCGGCCAGCCTATCCAGTGCTATGTTGTCAGAAGACGCTGATACATGGCGTTCTGTATTCCGTGGCCAATGCCGACCCCCAGATGGTCATTAAACGCTGCCTCAATCCCCTGATGGCAGTGATGTGTACTCCACGTGCCCGACTTACGAACATCACTCACAGCCTACGTCACTCTCCCTCTCCTTTTTTGTCCCAATAACCATAAAACGCCGACCTCGTCATGCGGGTGGCGTGGGAGCGATGAATTATCCCTGAGTCACTTTTTCAATTTCTATGTAATCGTATTGGCTTGATGATGAGTTACCGAAAACACATGTTTGTCAAATTGACCTTTCAACTGTAACATGGGAATATTTGCAGAACTGAATGAGTGGAACTTATTCGCACTTCTTGTGGTTATTACAGGTTATGCATTTGCGCTCGTTAACAATGAAAATCATGTTAATGTTCTTCATGTTGTGATAAACTGCTTGCATAAATAAACAGAACTTACAATTGAAGAGGATAAGTTCGACAAACTGCATTCTTAGATTTCTTTTTGGGCAGGAAACCAAATCAGTCTATCGAGTTAGACCTCATAAGAACACACTTAGGGACCTATACCCTGAACGCATAAGCTTTATTCCAAAAAGGGAACAGAACGTTACCTACGGTCTGTTTTAAATGTGCGCTCCAGGAAAATGCACGGAGCAGAAATTAACTCACACAAGTCCGCCGTTAAATGAAGCGAACTGCCTGACAACGTTCATAACGCAATTTAATGACGACTGCCCCTTATCAATGCAATTGACTAACGGTGCCTTGTTCGTGAACGTCACTTCAAGCATTGTCTGTAGATCGACATGTACTTGTGGAGGGGGGCATGCTGGGCGAAAATAAGGGCAGCTGGTCACCATATCAGTTAAATGCATACCCATACGGCGTCTCAAGCCAGAGAAAAAAACTCCTATCACCAAGCCTCGGTGGGGCACTGGAATACGCAAGCTCCCATATTAGAGGGCGAGCGGGGGGATACCTATTCCTGAGTCCAACCTCAAACAACTGCCGGATGATAGATACTCTTTTGAGCCAGATTTGAGTACTCATCTGGGCCGGAGAAGTGCAGAGTGTGTTATGTGGAAATACTATAGAATTGACGGCTACACCGGACGGTTGCAGACATCTGGATTACGTCGTCAGTCTGGCATTAACTCAGAAATAGGCTAGATCGCAGTTGGTAGGCAGGAATGGGGAAGCGGGCGGCGACCTTAACCCTCATCCTAACCTTAACCCTAACCCCAACCTTAAACGCTAACCGTCAACCTTAACGGCAACTCTAACCCTAACCGAAATCGTAAATGCAACCGTAGCCCTTAGATATTGCCGTAACTGGAAAACCTAATCATAATACTGAAACCTAATCGTACGCTCAAAGACTAACTGTAACCCGAAAACCTAAGTCTAAAGGCATAACCCTAACCCGAAAATCGGAAACCATTAACCAGTACCCTCATCCTAACCTCAGACCTAAAATGGATGCCAACTGGGTCAGATGTGACTATGGAACACCACAAATAGCTCCAGTAAAGAAAACCCCCAACCACCTTTAATACGGGACCTGGCTACCAACTGCGATCTAGTCCAGAAATATTATATTCTTATTGTTGTTTTTTATTTTTTTCCCACCGCTTTTTGCTTTCTCACTGTTTGCACTTCCCTCCCCTCGCGAACTGCATGGAGGATGCGACATCTCTATTGAACATGATTTATCAAGCTATTACAGATTCTCATGTCACAAGTCTTGCAAGCTTAACTCTGAAATCTAATCTTACTAGTGTTCACGCTCATTGTTTGAAACGATCACAACATGCTGCGTGTTCCCTCCCTCATAATTGGTATTACGTGGCTCCAAGAGACGGGTAAAGGAGCACGGAACTATCTCATTTACGCAGTATGTTATTACCGACAAAGACAAGGGAGATGGAATGGCCATAACATGTAATAACATACTGCCTATATCATGCACCGCTGTGCGGCTGCTGGTTGGGCTCGAGAGAGAGCCCGTAAGGCACAACGGAACGAGTGAGTTCCAAAAGAACGATCGATGAGCGCCCCCCACCAATATCTCATTTACGCCAATGAATCTGTGAAATCTGCTTCAAGTCTTCTATAAGTAAGCAGGAGACAAACGGAAATGAAACGGCACTGTAGAAAAGGGTCGAGATCTATTGACGAGAGGGGACAGTTTAATACATACTGGTTAGAAGTGTGTCCATACTCATGCAGCCGAACGGTGTTTGAAAGTGATAGATACAACCAACAACACGTAGACGCACTGAGACGACCACTTGCGTTTGTTAGTCGCCGTCAGCTAATGGTACTTCGACGAAAAGTGCTGATAAATCAAAATCTTTGATTGAATATCGCATTCGGAGCACATTAAAGCACTTGTTTGCAATCAACACGGAGCATAAAGAAGATACACTGTTATTCATATATGCTCGGCTCTCGTACTCTTTTTCAGGTTATCGTACAGCGGACTTTGGCCGCCAAAAACCTTGTCCACGCCAGGGCAGGTATCATTCTAGCCGGCCTGTGCAAAATGTTGCCCCTATGGTTGATGATCATGCCTGGAATGGCTGCTCGCATTCTTTTTACAGGTATGGAAGTGAATATAACTATAAAACAAATGTTTACAAACAGTATAAACCGTTGGAATTGTGCACACGTTTAGCGTCTTTCCTTACTAAGGCGACATTCACAGGTAATCTCATTTATGCAACCACACACAGTACCCGAAACATATTTTAAGGAACCAAAACAGTTTGGACACAGGTTGGCTAGCCCACTTTTTGGTTATCGACGCCTCTTTCTTTTGAAGTTTTCTCGTTAATTAAAACAACTGCAAATCTGAAAGAGGTCGAGATTTTTGGTCAAACGTCTGACTAGTTAGGAGTCGCTAACGTTAAGCATATGCACGGGTAGACACCGTGCACTACAGGGAGCCCAATAGGAAACTAGCCAATGTTGTTAGTGAGAAAAGAAAGGCAAATGAATTATTTGGGAGTTTTAAGATGTTCACATAGGATGTCACTTGTCTGTCAAAATCGTGGTAGGGCACGGGAATAGAAACAGATGTTTTTTGCGCAATTCCCTGGAGATTAGGGCTGGGGTTTAGGTTAGGGTCTGGGGTTTAGGTTAGGGTCTGGGTTTGAGGTTAGGTTATGTTTTGGGCTTTGGTTAGGGTTGGGGTTACGACAGGGAATAAGTACCTTCCCTGGAATCTAGTGCAAAACCACCTGCATTACCGGTGGAAAGATTCCTGTTTCCGCATCTAACTGAAATATATAAGCCAGCTTCTAATTTTGTTAACTGGGAGAACGCACTGAGCATGGCGGCCGTCAGTAGCAATGAACTGCTGCAAGACAGCTCGACCACTCACAAAGGGGGAAAAACAAGGGGAAAATGGTCAAGCGGCGAACTGTATGACAAAAGGAAGATGAAACTAATAACCACAAAACAGTGGTATAAATAAACGGGGCTTTCAAACCATGCCTCAATAGCAGCGTGAGGGTGGGGATGGTCACTGGGCTGAATACCGTACGGAGCATTCCCATCCCCGCGTGCCTTAGAGATCACCTAGTGACCACTAGTAACACAGAGTAAATGTCCACAGACAAAAAACATTGAAATGGCCATTTCGGGCTTATTAGTCGCCACCAGTCAACCATATCTCAGTCAGACGTTTGAACGACTCGGGGCTCAAACTCGGGCTCTTCAAAGACACTTTGGATTGAACCCCAAAATAAAAGAGGCGAGCATGTCCTGAACTGTAACCAAATCGGTCTCCTAAAAATTTCTAGCCTTAGAATCTAGCCCACTCGTTAGCTGCTTGAAAGTGCATTCGGCTATACACCGTAAAGACTAAATGCCAAATTCAAAGGTACTAGAAGGAAGAAAGGACCCGCTCTAAAAGATAAACTAAAATCTATTTTCCCCCTATCAACTAGATAAATATGTCTACTATAGTTGATAAGCTCTTGAAATGTAGCCTCAGACCAATCAAAAGAAGATTATGTCATGGCCACACTACACCTACAAATATCATAGTCAACCCAATAATTCGCCCAACCAGGAGTGTCAAACATTAGGTGATTAAGCTGTCACTCCCAGAGATGGCTCCACTTTCCAATCCATTACAACACCTAAGATCGGTATTTTTTGGGTGTGCATGCATATGTGGGGCTGGTTATGGCTGAATGATGGCGGCTCAGCTGCCAGAAGTCCCCATCACAGCCCCCCTTCCTCCTTCGGCCTAATTACTGGTCGCCATACGATAGAGAAGTGTGCGCATAACCGAAACTAAGATTATACTTCCGAGATCTTGAAAGCATTGATACAGGTATCTTCGCCATAAGCATATAGGGTTGAGAGCATATCTAAGTTAATAGAAGACTTCTATGGAATGAGCTGAAATTTAAAATTATAAGCAGCTAACGGATGTGAAAATGTGAACAGTAGCAACATAAGAATCTTTGAAGTAAAACGGACAGTGTGTTTATATTTTAACCAAACATATTTCAGACACGGTTGCTTGTGGTTCGGCAGAGCTGTGCGCCAAAATCTGCGGAAAAGCGGTTGGATGCTCTGACATCGCATATCCCTCGCTTGTCTTAAATATTCTGCCTTCGGGGGCTCGAGGTCTAATGCTGGCTGTGATGATGGCCTCGCTGGTATCAAGTCTGACCAGCATCTTCAACTCCTCCTCTACCATCTTCACCGTGGACATCTGGAAGCTGATTCGTCCCAACTGCAGGGATGCTGAACTAATGATCGTCGGCAGGTGAGGATCAGACAAATGACTGACTAGACATCTTTCTCACATAGACTTCACTGATAGAGTGGAAGTCGCAATTCTCAAAAAGCAGAAAACAGCATACACCATTCTTTATCTTCCCCCATTTTAAGGGTGTGCGTCATTATTCTCGTGGGCATCAGTATCGCCTGGATTCCAATTGTCCAACTGAGTGACGAGTTGTTTGATTACATTCAGTCCATCACTGCTTACCTTGCACCGCCCATCTGCGCTGTCTACGTCTTAGCAATATTTTGGAGGAGGACGAACGAAATCGTAAGTACAGTCTACCCTAGGAAGCATAATTACCTTATAGTGTGTCCATCTAATGTTCGTCAGTTGTTTAGGGTATATGAGTGTGTAATCCATGTTTGCTTATTTTTGCCACCCTCTAGGGTTGCTTTGTGGCGCTGATCGTAGGCCTCATAATTGGAATCGTTCGCTTTGGCTGGGAACTAGGACATCCGAAAACCCCATGTGGTCGGGTCGCCACGAATCCTCCACACGCGCTTATCCAAGTCCACTTCCTGCATTTCTCCATCCTCCTGTTCGGAATTTCTTCTCTCGTTATTATCTGCGTGTCCCTGATTACTCCACCGCTTCCCGCGAAATACGTAAGTAGGTTTCTTTGGAACGGCCATCACGGTTCTCTAGGGAGTGGCGATAGTTTAACAGGTCTTGGCAGTAGATACTGGTTTCTTTTGGGTATAGTCGACCGTTCATACAATTTAAGACTTGAATACAGTCCTATTTGAGTGGCTGCTTTTTGAAGGCTCTGCCCTATTGTGCATATATGCCATTTTCACATCGTGTGAACCATTAAATATGGCTCACGTTTTGGAATGGAAATGTATAATAGCGGATTTATATGCTCAAGTATTTACAGTCTCTACAAGGAACATACATGTCAGTCGTGTAAATGAAGAAAAAGGGCAAAAATAGATACATCTACGATCAGGAAGTTTGTTTCTCAGTGAACAATTGCAGGTTGGAACGGCGGTTTGCCATTTAGTCGAACTTACATGACAGCGTTTACCAACTTATGAATTGGACTGTTCTGTTGCCCATGCTATGTGCTTAAGGTAAAATGCAATAAGCTGATATCTGTCCTGCAAATCATTCAACATTATGACCACAAGTTACGTTATACTTTTGTAGACTAGACGTCTTACTTTTGCTGAGAGACATGAAGCCTTTGACAGGGAGCTTGACGGTCCGAAATTAACCATTGTCTCGGCGGAGGAGAAAGAGGTGTACAGCAGGGGTGAGTGCAGGCACATTTTGTGGGCAGAAACCTTTTCCAGAACCGTTTTAAATACAAAGGCACTATATTCAGTGTTTATAACCACGATGCTTTAACTTTTAGAGAATGAAATGGAGCGGCAAAAGATTACTTGGTGGAAGAATATTATCTACTGGTTCTGCGGCACTGAAAGTATGCAAGGTAGTAATGAACCGGTCTACACCCAAGAAGAGGCTGATGAAATAGTTGAACTTACACAGAAACAACTGAGCATCAGAGAAGATTCGCAGGAAGTCCTGTTCGTCGACGTTGGCATGGCAGTTGTACTGGGCATGGCCATCTTTGCTTCAGGCTTTTTTTCATAGGTGTCAGTGGCCAGTAACACGCAAGAACACGTTCCATCACTCAATTCTTTCGATATCAAATGTGATTTTCACTTCATCCTTTGTAGTGAAAATAGCGGTTTCTACTATCTAGCTGTGGGCTCATTCAGTCGACAGTGCAGATCTTGCAGGGTAATACCTGTTTAATTGTCGTTAGCCTAGTTTAATACCAGTCATCATCACCCTTTTTTCTGTCTTGCTTGCTGTTCTCTACGTTCAAGCCTACTTCGTTTTTACCTGTTTGTCTTTTAAACTAGGGAATCAAGCCCGTCTGAAGATGACGATCATCAGCATTTTCGGGAAAAAACAGCACAAGAGATTGACAGGGTCTGACGGTCAAAAGCTAGAACAATTAACTGTCCAATAAATCAAATTGCACATTATGAACTAGTCCCTCCACGAGCTCCTTAACAGGAAGTAAGCGCTCGGAGATGCATAAGAAGGGCTCAGAAAGACATGAATTTACCTTTTTCCTTATCTCTGAGTAGGTACGGGTGAGAAGAGAAAATATAATCACTTTCTTTCGCCAACATCTGGGCTCGATGTGAAGTCGCCCTGACAACACAAGGCAAACCTGAACTGACTGAAGGCCTGGATTTTTTGCTGTTGTTATGCAAAGACATATGGATAGCAAACATTAAAATACACACCTTTGTCAAAAATGTAGAAAAATTACTGAATTGGAGAAATAAATAGCCCATGTTCAAAATCTAATACGACTGCATGAATTTTCAAAGCGGCATTAAATGTTAAC